GCCAATATCCAGTTACAATTATAACGCCACCTGCTGGGCACCGGAAATGACATGTTTCACAGTGTAAAAAAAAACTCCTCCCACAAATTTTATCATATCATCACTAAATGTGGGTGTCCGTGGCAGCCTGACAAACCTCAAGGATTCGCCATGAAAGAGGAAGTACTTGTAACTCAACCACACAATGTCCGATCTGCCTGAAACTTCACGTTCGATAAAATTCCTCTCCTGAAGACATCTACCTGCCAACACTGAGTCACAGTCATCTGCTGACTGGAGGAATTTTGACATAAATCTGTGAATTTCTCATATTTTTTTAAAATATCAGCTCAAATTATTATTGTTTGCTGTTCCCATCCTGAGGCCACCGGGTGGCAGTGAACGCGAGTGCGAGGTCACTTTTAACGCTGCTTGCAGCTTTAATTATAACTAAATGTGTTTCTGTTTTCAGTGACTAAAACATCTTGCTGACAAAGAAGTCATCAAGAAGGGACAATTTGGAAAATTGTAAAAATTGTATATCACCATATCACTATGTTGGCACATAGGCATTTGTAGCTCCACCCCCTTTTGAAATTTCATTTGAATTTAAAGCTACACTCACCAAAACGACACAAATCCCGGCAAGCACAGGACGTCAACATGACGTCAAATTGATGTTGCACCCCAAAGTCGTGGGTATGTTGCACTTTGTTTGGAAATGAAAATCGGGTTCACTCAACATCAGACCAACGTTAATGTCTAACATCGGACAGACGTTGCATTTTGGTTACTTTCCAACACAACCTAAAAGTAACAAAATATCAACATCTAATGATGTCACAACCTGACATTGTTTGGACGTTGGTCATTTTCCAACACAACCTAAAATCAACCAATATATCAAGGTCATTTGTTTCAGGTCAAGGTGTTGTGTTGCGACCGGAAGGGCATCTTATGCATAAAAAGTTGGCGTTTCATTCTGCTGTGGCGACCCCTAATTAATAAAGGGACTAAGCTAAAAGGAAAAGCAATAAATGAATGAATCAACGTCATTTGACATCATTATTGGATTTTAAATTAGTGTTATCCTTAGACGCTTGCAACCCAAATCTAACCTTATATTAACATCTTATGACGTTGTGTGCCTGCAAGGTAAGGATCAAAGCCTAAAGGGGCCGTTTCAAAAAGTGATAACATATTATTTGTTTGTTTGTTTGGTTGTTTTTATAGCTGAAACTTCACACTCACACAGACTAATCAGAAACTGAAGGAAAAACTTACCGACATCTTGGATGACCTGCGGGAGAGTAAATGAACAGGAAACTTTCTTTTTTGGGTGAACTATCCCTTTAAGGTAAAGAAATGAGGGTGAGGATGATTATATCCTTGCAGCCTCGGCATGAGCACGACATCATCAATGTTTCATATCTCTCATATTACCAGACTCTTTTCAGACCGTCTCCCATAGATATGAACATCAGTAAAGTCTCAAAGAAGAAACGAGATCGGAAACACAGCACGCTTCCAGAAATTGATTACTTGCTATGCAAAAAAAAAAAAAAAAAAAGTGATTTAATCTCACAAGTTTGTCAAACAGGCAGTAAAGAATGATGTTTTTAAATCTGTTCAATGACACAACTCCTCATCAGACCTGCTCTGAGACTCTTCTGGCTTTCTTTCTGCACCGAATAACAATGACACATCTAGATTAAATGCATAGAGTAAGGTTTACTGCAAAAAAAGGTTGTTCTTACGAAGACTTTTTGTCTTGTTTCTTGTCCAAATATCCACAAATTCTTAAATCAAGAAGCATTTCCGAGACAAGCAAAACATATTGTCCTGTTTCAAGAAATAATACGTCAAGATTAACTGAGTTTTCCCCTAAGGGGCACCTATTTTAGCCCTTTTTCAAGATTTAAGATAAATCTTTTGTATTTCCAGATTTTCTCTGTAAAGTTTCTGCTCAAAACACCCATCAGATTATTTATTATGCCTTTCTGAATCTGGGAAACTTGAGCTGTTAAGACATTGTAGCTGTTTTTGTTGGCTGTGCCTTTAATGCTAATGAGCTGGTTCTCCCCGCCCACTGTTTCCCTGTGTGTGTTAGAGCCACAAAGATTGCTCTGATTGGTGTAGCATTCACCTGCGACGTCCCACATAGATAAACACGTCCCACGTAGATCGCTTGCAACTGGCCCCTCATTATTCAATTTACGATTCACCAATCAGACGATTCCTAAGCAACTATAAATACCCTAAGATCCATATCAAAGCCACCTTTATTTTGAAGAATCCCCCATTGCACCCCTTTTCCTTTTTCTTTCCTATATGGGTGGCATGGTGGCCCAGTGGTTAGCACTGTTGCCTCACATAAATAACGTCACTGGTTCTAGTCCCTACCAAGCCAGCCAACGTTTCTGTGCCGAGTTTACACGTTCTCCCCTTGCTCACATGGGTTTCCCCCGGGTTCCCCGGTTTCCTCCTACCGTTCACAAAAATATGCAAATTAAGTTAATTGACTAATCCAAATCAACACCTTAGACATGCTCCAAGTAAGTAAATATCTCTTAAGAGCAATCACTATCTGTTCATTATCTAATACAGCAGGGTAGTTCTCGAGATCTACCTGAGCTCAAATTCCCCTCTCGCCTTGCAAACAGGAGGGAGCCCCAGGCTCGAGGACCTTATGAGCTCAGGGCTCTCTCCCGGGACAGCATGCCAAACAAGGTTTATATTCAATCATCAGTTAAGTGTGAACTCTTGAACTACAGGTAAAAATTTCCCAATGGTTATTTGATGTAGAGTTAATTCAAGCCTTTCTGCAATGATGAGTCACACACAATGTTGTTATGCGTTTGTGTGTGCAAAAACACACATGTTTAGCTTTACACTGTTTATGTGACAAGGATAGACTTTAATACACACTGCTGTATGGCTATCCGTTATGTTAATGTACAAAATAAACTTGATTTAACATGCACAACCCGGGTTTGAAGCGTCTTCGTTTATAATCGTACTGACACTATGCAGCTGTGATGATGAATTACAGATTTTACTGTCTTTATTACAAACATGTACTGTTTTAGAAACGTTTTGAACTTGTAAAACTCGTTCTTGAAGTGCAGATGATCACAGAGAGCTGAACAGATCTTTTAATCCCAGTTGCTTTGCACATGTCCTTTTCTTGTGGATATTATTATAGGCCTTAGTGCGGAGAGATGTTATTATGGGGCTATGCACTCCTACGTTGCGATGGGCCTCAGGACTGCAGGGATTTAAATCCAATTTTAACATCAGAAAAAAAAAAACAGAATTATTGTGTTTTTATCACTCCAATATGACTGTTGACACACTATATCTACACACAGATCGTACAGAATTAAAGTGTGCTGTTATAGTGATATTCTAATATGCAAAAATACAAATAGCACAAACAAACACTGACCAGACCATGGAATATTTATGCAATAATTCTCACTGCAATAAACGAATAAATGAATAAATGAATGAATTAATTAATTAAAATAATAATAATAATAATAATAATAATAATAATAATAATAATAATACAATGTTTTTGTGAATTTTTACAAAAAAATTCTCTTTTTTTTAATTTCTCATTTCTGGCTTTTTCAAATATGATTCTTGTTTAAATCTTAACTCTTGTTAACTCCTAACTTTTTAATATCACGTTTATTTATTTAATTATTTATTTATTTATTTATTTATTTAGTGTTTGTTTATATCTCCCAGTTGCTTTACATCTTGCTTGAAATTTGCAATGACTTTTAATTAAATTATTTTTAGGGACCAAGCACCAAAATGGTGCGTCGGCCCTATTGGAAATGCTCTGTTTATTAGGGACGATTACCAAAACGGTGCGCAGGCCCTACTGGGATTTGCTCCGTTTATAATATTATTCTTCCGCTTCTTTTTTTCCGGAATAAATCATGATTTTAAGGGTCTGAAACATGCCCGAAAACTCACAAAACTTTGCACACGCCCTAGAAGTGCCGAAAATTTACGTTTGTTATAGGTTGTGGCAAAATGACTTGACAGCGCCACCTATGCATTTTTGACAGACTGGCCTCCGAGCTACTATTCATGCACAAAAAGTGGCACACAACTCAAACATGCCAATTTCTACAATAAAGTCACTTAAACCGAAATCCCAAACCCAACAGGAAGTCAGATATTTTAAACTTTCTGTGCTGAAAAAGTAGCGTTTTTGCAATTTACAGGCAAAAAAAAAGAATTATTGTGTTTCTATCACTCCAATATGACCGTTGACACACTATGTCTACACAGAGATCATACAGAAAGCTGACTTTCACCATAGGTTCTCTTCACAACAAGGTAAATAACCGTATGTCAAAACGAAAGACAAGATCATTTTCCTTACCCCATTGGCAGATTTTTTAGCTTGTTTTAAGAAAAACCTCACTTAATTTTGACATATTATATCTTAAAATGTGACAATATTTTTTGTTTATCTAAGAAATGCTTCTAGATTTAAACATTTTACATATTTAGATTAGAAACAAGACTAAAACTCTTAGTGCTGGTTTGCATTACATTCTCTTTTTTTGGCCAGAAAGCTGACTATGCGCATCTGAATGCTGATCAATTGAGCTTCCTGTAAATTTAGCTCAAACTGTAATTAAACACAAGCATATCAGTCGATTACTCTTTTAAAATGCATCGCACTGAAAGAATGTTCTTCTGAAAGACATCTCAGTGCTCTTCTTTATGCTCACCAAGGCTGCATTATTTGACACTTGATCCATATGTGCGTTCTGAGATAATGAATTATTACAATTTATTAAGAAGACACGAGTGAGTAAGGTTCTTTAAGTTTTCACACACCCTGCTCAACAGACAGAACGTATTCAATGCAATGTATTTAATGAACAACTTACTGTACTACTCTATCAAGGGACATTATCCAGGATCAACAGTGAGCAGCTATTGAACATTGAGCGTTAAACTGAAGACTGTGATGAACTCTTCTCTCCTACCTGGACTCTGCTGCTGGGCTCTTTCTTAATCCACTTGATGACTGTCTCGTACACCAGCTCCTCTGCTTTGGTGTTCAGGCTGTCGTTGGACATGTAGCTGACTAGGTCTTCTTTGGAGACGTTCAGAATTTCCTCTTGTCCCGCTACATCTGGAAAGTTCTGCAGGGCGAAGGCTTTGGCCATGTTGTGGAGTTCAGTGCATTGCATGGCTTCAGCCATCGCCAATACACCCAGACAGTTCGCCGCCGTCAGCTGCTTCTCTAAACAGTCAGAAAACACACACAAACACACACCAAGGTTATTACAGCTTTGCGTTTTTCCACTAGTGTTTATTTCGCTACTGTTTTCAAAATTGCTGTACACTTCAATTCCGTTTGTTTCATTAAGATTGTTGGTTTTAGTTATGCTTGGTGTCACAAGTATACTTCAATAAACTGACCAAAAGCAGTTTACATGCAGAGTCTATCGTATCGTATTGTATCATATCATATCGTATCATATCTTGTCGTGTCATATCATATGTTATCGCATCGTATTGTATTCTATCGTATTATAACATATCATAACATCAGAACATATTGTAATGTATGGTAACATATCTTAATGTATCGTATCACAATTGCATTGCATCACATCGTAGCGTACCGTACCATGTCATATTATATCGTATCATATCATATCGTATCATATTGTGTCTTATCATATCATATATCATGTACCATATCATATGGTATCATATCATATGGTTTGGTTTTGTATCGCATTGTATCGTCATGTATTGCAACATATCATAACATCAGGACATATCGTAATGTATCGTAACATATCGATTTATCGTATCACATCGCATCACATTGTACCGTACCATACTGTACCATGTTGTGTCATATCATATTGTATTGTACCATATGATATGATATGATATAGTATCATATTACAAAGTATGTCTCTTAAAGTACTGTAACGTATAATAACATCAAAACATATTTTAATGTATTGTAAAATATCTTAACGTATTGTATTGCATCGCATCACATCGTACCATATCATATGAAAGTATGTCGTGTTGAATTACATCATATCATATCATATCTTGTCGTGTCATATCATATGTTATCACATCATATTGCATTGTATCGTATTGTAACATATCATAACATATTGTAATGTATCGTAACATATCTTAATGTATCGTATCACAATTGCATTGCATCACATCGTAGCGTACCGTACCATGTCATGTCATATTATATCGTATCATATCATATCGTATCATATTGTGTCTTATCATATCATATATCATGTACCATATCATATGGTATCATATCATATGGTTTTGTATTGTATCGCATTGTATCGTCATGTATTGCAACATATCATAACATCTGAACATATCGTAATGTATCGTAACATATCGATTTATCATATCACATCGCATCACATTGTACCGTACCATACTGTACCATGTTGTGTCATATCATATTGTATTGTACCATATGATATGATATGATATGTCGTGTCATATCATATGTTATCGTATCATATCGCATCGTATCGTATTGTAACATATCATAACATCAGAACATATTGTAATGTATCGTAACATATCTTAATGTATCGTATCACAATTGCATTGCATCACATCGTAGCATACCGTACCATGTCATGTCATATTATATCGTCTCATATTGTGTTGTATCATATTATATATCATGTATCATATCGTATGGTATCATATCATATGGTATCGTATCACATTGTATCGTCATGTATTGCAACATATCATAACATCAGAACATATCGTAATGTATCGTATGACATCGCATCACATTGTACTGTACCATACCGTACCATGTTGTGTCATATCATATTGTATTGTACCATATCATATCGTATCGTATGATATATCATATGGTATCATATTGCATAGTATTGTCCCTTAAAGTACTGTAACGTATCATAACATCAGAACATATTTTAATGTAATGTAACATATCTTAACGTATTGTATTGCATCGGATCACATCGTACCATATCATATGAAAGTATGTCGTGTTGTATTACATCATATCGTATCATATCTTGTCGTGTCATATCATATGTTATCGCATCGTATCGTATTGTAACATTTCATAACATCAGAACATATTGTAATGTATCGTAACATATCTTAATGTATCATATCACAATTTCACTGCATCACATTGTAGCGTACCGTACCATGTCATGTCATATTGTATCTTATCATATCATATTGTATCATAATTGTGCCGTATCATATCATATATCATGTACCATATCGTATGGTACCATATCATATGGTATCGTATCGTATTGTATCGTCATGTATTGCAACATATCATAACATCAGAACATATCGTAACGTATCGTAACATATCATAATGTATCGTATCACATCACATCACATTGTACTTTGCCATACTGTACCATGTTGTGTCATATCATATATACACATATATCATATGGTATCATATTGCATAGTATTGTCTCTTAAAGTACTGTAACGTATCATAACATCAGAACATATTTTAATGTATTGTAACATTTCTGAACGTATTGTATTGCATCGCATCACATTGTACCATATCATACAAAAGTATATCGTGTTTTATTATATCATATTGTATCGTATCATACCATATCATATATAATATCGTATGGTATTGTATCATATGGTGTCGTATTACATCGTATTGTATTGTAAAGTATTGTAATGTATCATAACATATCGAACCGTTTCAAAATGTATCGTAACGTGTTGTATCACATCGCATGGCATCACATCGTACCCCACAGTCCAAACACATTTGCTATAGGGGAATTGAATAAACCAAATTGTGTGTGTGTGTGTGTGTGTGTGGGTGTTTTCCAGTACTGGGTTGTGGTTGGAAGGGCATCCACAAAGTAAACCATATGCAGGAATAGTTAGCGGTTCATTTCGCTGTGGTGACCCCTTATAAATAAGGGACTACGCTAAAGGAAAATGAATGAATGATTTCACCGAGGTGCTGAATGAGAGAATGAATTAATAAGGACTGATAGGAGAGGGTCGTTTTAATGGACTTTGATACCATATTGTTTACATGGTAAACTCAAAATCAGACTATTGTCTTAATTGTATCAAAATCAGAGTATTGGAGTCCCTGTAAAGGTACTGAGTGAGAGGTGTCTGAAAGATTGCATTCATCTGCAGGTGTTGCTGTGGAAAAGATGAGTGCAATATCACAAACAGAGAGTGGGGGGGAAAAAGAGCTAAGCATGGCAATCGATTGGACAGGAGGCTCTCCAGGACTCTGATTAGTCTAGACAGACTCAGACCTTTTCTGCTGCATGAAAGGTCAATAAGAGCTCTGGTAAACCTGCGCCGTCTTCATTCAACGCTTCTGAAAACAGAGCTTTGGCCTTCACGTCAACATCAGACATCGGTGTCATCCGGACGACTTCTATGAGATGCTTTTATGTCAATTGTCAGTTCAATTTAGTGCAGGAAAAAGCTATTAAACCTTATTCAAAGCTTGGCTAAAATGAGTGACAAAGCGCATACAACAAATGATAATCCCAAAACTACTAATGGCTTATGCATGCTTATTCTATACAAATCTTTTGTGTCAAAGAGACAAATAAATAAACCGATAAGAAAACAAGTGATCCATTCATTCGTTTTTCCGAATGCCACAGCGGAATGAACCACCAACATACTTCAGCATATATTTTTACACAACTGATGCCCTTCCAGTGTGGAAACACCCACACTCTCATTCACAAAAATACAATACGGACAATTTTTTAGCTTACCCAATTCACCTGTACCGCATGTCTTCAGACTTGTGGGGGAAACCGGAGCACCCGGAGGAAACTCATGCAAACGCATGGAGAACAAGCAAACTCCACACAGAAATGCCAACTGGCCCAGCCAAGGCTCGAACAGGCGACCTTCTTGCTGTGACCTTTCAGTCATGACCCAAACCTTATGACCATAGGTGAGAGTAGGAACTTAGACTGACTGGTAAATCGAGAGCTTTGCCTTTCGGCTCAGGCCCCACTTTACCCGTACATTAACAGCATCACTGCTGCACCGTTCTGCCTCACGTTCCCTCCTTCCTTCCCTCATGAACAAAACCCCATGTTGCTTGAACTCCTCCATCTAGGGTAAAGACTTTCCTCTAGCCTGAAGATAGCAAGCCACCTTTTTCCAGTGGAGCACCATGGCCTCGGACTTGGAGGTGCTGATTCTCATCCCAGCCTCGTCACATAGGCAGCAAACCACCCCAGTGCATGCTGCTCCATGTTCGATGAAGCCAACAGAACAACATCGTCTGCAAATAACAGATATAAAATCCTGTGCTTCCCAAACTGGACCCCCTCTAGCCCTACTAAGTTACTTTTTAGACAAAGTAATTGTAAAAGTCATTTAAAGAGCCCATATTATACATGAAATAGGGTCATGTCTTGGTTGTAAGAGTCTCCAACAACAGTCTAATATGCATGCAAGGTCAAAAAACACTTTCATGGTCTTATAATCTGCATTTATTTTTACCAAATTATCCCAGCGACTCCCGTATGAATCGTCCAGTGATTCATTTGTTCCCAAACCCCTCCTTAGCGCGAAGCTAATCTGCGCTGATTGGACCGATGACAGTCTGTCGCGATTGGTCGACTGCCTTCAGTCAGAGAGTGAAATGGGCCAATAGCTAATCAGCAATATAAAAAGTAATCACAGTTCATACACGCTCGATAGTGTAGGCGTGGATTTTAGCTGCCACACACACACACAAACACACACACACACACCTCTGGACGACAACGCTCCCGCTTCCGCCCGCACCCGCCAGGTTTTAGCCTGAGAACCCGCTTCGTTTTCTGCCCGCCGCGCCCGATCCTGCTAGAGCGGGGGAGAACACAACCAAAAATCACCCAGCTATACAGTTCAGACAGCCAAGATGTCTGTATAAACACACACACACAACACCAAGCACACAAAACTCGCGCTCGCTCGCTCTCTCTCTCGCTCGCTCGCTCTCTCTCTCTCTCTCTCTCTCTCTCTCTCTCTCTCTCTCTCATACGCGCGCGTGCGCACTAACACACACAAGCACCAAGCAGACTCTCTCTTTCTCATTCGCATAGCAATATCCGTGATATTGCTAGACAGCCCGCTCCCGTCCCAAATTAAACCCATTACCGACCGCTCCCACGATTTATTCGGAAATTCATTCCCGCGCCGCAGAAATCTGGCGCGGGG